GTAGTTTTCGGCATGCTCCCACAAAATTGGTACCGTTGTCACTGTAAATATGCGTGGTGCACCACGACGTGAAATTAAACGTCTAAGTGCAGCGATAAACGGTCTGCCGTCAGGTCACTGACTGCTTCTATATGCACAGCTTTAGTCGACAACAAACAAACAGAGCTATATAACCTTTCGTTGTTTTAGAGCCACGACCCTTATTAAATTTCATGGTAATGGACCAGAATCCACACCAGATGCGTAAAAAAGGTCGTCCAAATTCACACGATGTTCAGGTAGTCACCCCTCAATTGCGAGTTGAAGCAGCTTTAAATCGATGACATATTAAGCAATGGTTTACACAACTGTATCATCTCTTCCTCCAATTATCCATAAAGATTGGCTGATGAGGTGTGATAATAAAGCACCAACATGAAGGTAAGAATATGGAAGTTCTTTCATAGAATTCGCTAAATATGTCGAGAAGGAAGTATGACAAGATGTTTGATGTTAAATGCTAAAGATGAATTTCGAAAACGTCCTCGTAAGCGACCATCTTCATCTACGAATGGATATAGAGAACGTAGTTGGCTCTTCTTGGGTAAAAGTTTCTCTACCTTAATACATTGTAAATCATCTTTGAAATAATGATTCTGAATCCAACGAATAATGAACTTTTCTGCTACTCGAATCTCTAGAAATGTTAGCGGCATAAGGTAGCTGGAGTTAATGTGAAACGGTGAAATGTTCTGAGTGAAATGTTCTGAGTAATTCCACTACGTGAAATGTTCTGAGTAACATGATGCTTCTTGCAATTAGTAATAAATCTTTGACAGTAAGCCAGAATACGAACAACTTTACAACGCGAAGAATAATGCTCGAACAAATTAGCTAATAAATCATTCGATTCACGTATGTGACAAATAAAAATAGGATCAGATCTTTGTTCAGCCTTTACTTCAGTATCATCTTCAGATTTTAATTAATATTAGGCCCTTTTCCTCTTCCTGACGCAACCATGGTGGACCATTCTACCACAAAGTACAATTTGGTAGGAGTTGAGGTTCAGTACCACGAGAAAGAAGCAATGTTGCAGATTCTGTTTAGAGGAACATGATTCCAATGTTTAATAGGTATCACTTCTATGATTTGAGATGTTCTGTTTGCACAAAAGTTTTCCACTTACGTGGATGAGCGGATAGCCAAGACAGAACTACCTTGGAAACCGTCCACGATAGATTTCAAAATTAAACTTTTTTAAAATGTTCAATAGAGATCGCTTAATCTGGTCACAAATACGCAGCACAGAGTTCTAATCGCGAGGAATAGATACTTGCTTTATAGGCGCGACTTATAGTCTTTGATACCAAAAGATTAACCTTAACCGTACCATTGCATGTTTGGCGACAGTAGATGGCTGCTGCATAGGCAAGCGAAAGATGCATCACAAAATCCATGTAGTTAGAATATCTCTGTCTGTTGGAAGTATGACACATCTCGGAATTCACAATTATTGGTTTGAACTGAAAGTCTCTTGAAATTTAAACCAATCATCTGAGATAGTGCTGTGGAATAACTGAATTCCAGTCACCTTTAACTAACCATAGCTTTTATAGAGTATTTTTATCAATATAGTGCAAGGAGACAGGAGACCTAAAGGATCGAAAATGTGAGCAGATTCTGCTAATATGCGTCTCTTTGTTATAGGTGCGTTGATGTGCAGTGTAGCTTTAAAACTGAAGGTATGAGTAGTTGAATTCCAAAAAAGTCCTAAGACTTTCGAACTCGAATTAGGAGATATCTCGAAATCAGAATTCAATGAACAATGCTTCTTAAATTAACGAGAAATCTCAAAAGCGTGTTGCCAACGCAGGGCAACGAAAAAGTGGAAATTAATTCGATAGGCGTGGAAGTGAACAACTGTTATGGTGTCAAAAACGTTACATAAATCTGGCATGAGCAATAGAACTTTAGGTCAGTTTTGAAGGCTTTTCTCTTATATTCAGATACTGGTGAATGTTTATGTAACACGCAGTACGTGCTTTTGTGCGTTATGATCTTTGCCTTCTCAAGAATGAGAATTATTTTCTCAAAACGGGAAAAATAAAGTTAACTGCGTATAAAAATCGTCCTGACGGAAGTCTGCGTTCAGTTTCGCGGCCGCCATATACACCAACAAGAAAATGGAATCTGTGAACACTTGAACGCCATTTTCGCTTTATCGGAGTATATAGGATATAATTCGAATTTGGTTTCTTCTAATCATTTCATTTTCTGGTGTTTTTAGCATAGTTTATTCATACGAACTTAGTTTGTAAATTTCGTTCAACTCCAATGAATAATTTCTGTTTTATTCGCAATAATATGTTGCTTACTTTATCAGCATTAACACATTTATGAAGGGTATTTGCATTAAACTCGGCTACTGCTATGATATTTTAAAAATTTTAACTACGATACTAAAAGGATGATATGTATTCTTGTAGACCAGAGAAGAAACACAGTTAAGTTTTTCTTTTAATCATGTTAACATTATTTTCAAATATAATAATCTATATATTTAATTCATCCTACACATGTATTAAATCAAACTATATAGTGAAAACTTGCGAGATAAAGTGATTAGTTTCCAGTTTTTCTTTTAATTACTATTATTTATTTTTCAGGAAAGAAAAAAGTCTTTGAAGATACTCTTGGAAGCTGAGCAGAAGACATATGAAACGGAATTATGGAAAATGGGATATTCGATTATAAGAAATTAAGAACTTTGATAAGAATTTTTGAGTATCTAAATTAAAATACTTTAGTTAGTCACAGTAAAAAATACTAAATAAGTTAAAATTTTCAAAATGTAAATCAGAGCAAAAATAGATTTTGAGATGAATGCATTACAGATATATTTTTCACTCAAATTAAGCTCTAATTTGAATCTGAAATTTTGGTCAAATTAAGAAAAAATAAACAAGACGGGAAATGCCATTTATGGGTATCAACTTAATTACATTTTAAAAGTAATTCATGCTGAAAATCAAAAGGGAAGGGAACGGGTTCAAACAAATAAAAAGAGACAATTTTTAATTTAAATAATTAAGAATTAAGAATGTGCAACATGAATGCACATTCAGTTATATATACAGTGCATATTATTATTACAGTGCAATATGAATGATATGAATAGTGATTATGAATGATCTGCAGCCCCTTTGGTCTAAAAAAAGAACAATATTTTGCCGTTATAAGAATAAATTTATGTATACTTAATTATGGATATAAAAGAAATTTTTTTGTGTGTATCTTTCAGTCAACAAATAAGGAAGTGAAAAGGATGAAATATAAATTCAGAGGACATTACAATGTACACATGATCATATGTTTATAACTCAAATCAGGTCATATAGATTTGTATATATATATATATATATTGACTTAATCTGTTTGTGGGGCTGGACTATATGTTCCCCACTGCGATCAGCAGTGCTTGAATGTATAAACTGCTAAACACGGTAATTCAACACGTGTTCAAATTCAGGTGAAAATTCAGGTTTTAATGCATTTTTTATGGTTTTCCTTACATGTAACGTGAATATGAGTTTTTAGAATGTTTTCCGCAAAGGTATCACATTTTCTTAGGCAAATAGCATTGGTATGTAAAAAAATAAACAAATATGGTGTTAAATATGGCTCAATGAACGTTATTCCATTATTGTAAAGATTAAAAATGTACTGGTTGACGCCGGGTAAAAAAGAGGCAAATTGTATTGCTTGGTTTTCTTCTCTGTATTGCGGGAATGCTTAATGCTTTGCTAAACGGAAAGTTAACGAGTATAACCTACACGAAAAGATTCATTTGTAACTGAATTAAATGTATAACAGAAATGATAGTCACGACTTTAAGGAGGGGAAGATCTTGATGAAAATAACTATTTTTATAATGCAATGCGTGGTGGAATGTGAAATTTAAACGCGGAAATTACAGTATGAAGAACAAGGAAATCGAAAAATCGTCTTAATCATTGGTATTAACAAAAATTATGATTTATATTATCACTTTATTATGGAGGCATTTTTTTCAAATGAATAACTGACAATTGCAATATATTCATCATACTGTCCACAGTTTACGAGGTACAAATTGACTGAATAATTTTCTTCGAGAATTAGCCTCGCTGTTGCAGAAGTACCTGAACGTTTCGAATGTCTTTCAAAATACTGCCACGGTGTGCAAAACTGCTGCCATCTACTAAAGTTCTCCATGATGTACGGCGTTATCAGCACCAGCCTTACTATATCAGGCGCCTTCGGTGAAAAGCTCCCCTTTATTCTTCCCTAAAATCCCAGAATGGGGAAATCATGAAACATCATTTCACAGAACATGCTTTTTGGTGGTTTAAAAATTTTGATCAGCGCACCTCAGAATCGGCTGGCCTGGGCGGTCGTCCTAACTCGCCTTCCTTAAAGCCGCTAACAGGAGTTATAATCCGGAACTGATTTTCTCTTTTCCAAATTACGCAAAAATATTTTAGATGCATTTTCAATTATTAAATTTGAGAATATCTGCAGTAACGAGAATGCAGTGTGACAGTACGTCATACTTTTGTCGCACCATTTTAATTTGCCCTGGCCTCATTGATGCACAGTATGTGACAGACAGTGATGGAGAACGAGATCATCTTGTCTTCTCTTATTCTCCTTTCGCCAAGAGTCAGAAGGAATTTTGCAGCAGCTCTTTCAATAAATTCTGTAGTTCACTGTCGATTCTGTGTTTTTTTGGCCAAAATAAGATTACGAGCTTAGGGAAATTTTCATTTATCATTCTATGCTTGCTTTTAGACTGGTGATCGAGTTTAAAGAAATAGAAGAAATGTTGGTCCTTATTGTGCATTATTTTGTAGGAAAGAAATCTGCAGCAAAGAAAAGGGATTTTTGAATTTCCTTTTGAACTGAATGTAGGTGTTTATGATGTACAAAATATGATTCATTAAAGAAATACCATTATGAGGTAAATATAAATCTCCGTAAGAAATTCACTTGAATATTTCATTTATTCTGTTTGAAGACAAAAATATTGCTGATTTTTCCCCAATTTTTCCTGAGTAAAGATATTTTCCTCCATTAATTTGTGCAATTTTCTATTAATTACCTGCTAATTGGTTTCTGTTATTAATTGGATTGGTAATTGCTATTGGTAGATGCTAATTGGTAATTTATGTTAATTAATTGGTAATTGCTATTAAATTGATAATTGCTGTTAATAATTTCTGCTTACTAAATCATGAAACCAATAATTTATAGCAATATTTTTAAATCCACTTTTACCCTTTATTGATTGATTCTTTACAGTAACCTATTTATATACTGAAAAAAAGTTTTTTTTTTTTTTTTTTTTAATTTCCAATCGCGGGCACTAGGCTTTATAGGCACTGGCCACTATAAAGACCGAAAACGACGGTCATTTTATTATGGACGTACCTAATAGGTGGGTCACCGTGGCCTCCTATGAAGGGACAGACAATTTACATCCATGCCTTCTCCAGGACTCGAACCCTTCGGTATGGCAGTCAGTGTCACTAGCCACTTTCCCATCCGGCTGGCATATGCAGAAATAATGGTAAAAACTTAGGCAATTGGTTCCTTGCATATTCGTTTAGCAAGAGGTGGCTTGATGTAGTTGTTTGCAAGCTTTTAAATGAAAAATGTCATGTTATTTTTGTTGTGACTAATCTTGCTTGTCTGAAATCAGCGCAAGCTCGCGAAATTCATTGTGGTAAGGAGTCAAGATTCCACCTGTCGTTTGCAAGAGGCTTGGTAACCATACAGGTGACAGTACGACTTTGCATCTAGACCTGACCTCTAGTTTGACATAGAGCTCAGCAGTCTGGTAGGATCTTCGTAGAGGATGTAATAGTTGAATGCAGCTTTTATAGCATCTGTTCTCTGGATATCAACAAGGATAGGTAAATAAATTTGTTTATTTTGAAGTAAAATTTTAAATGCGAACGTATTAAAATTATATGATTTTTTGCTTATTTTTCTGTTAGCAAAACCATGAATTTGTAGAAGTTTACTTCATGTTTTTCATTCAAAACTTCAATGGATTAAGAAAGGTGTAGCAAAAATATACAGCTGTCAGAATCTCTATCTAGTTTGAACCTACTTCTCATCTCTATTTAATTCCTTCACCCGCTTTGATGATCAATGTGACTGATTCCCAATAAATAATGTTTCATGTGAAAAATACCTTCCCCTCTCCTCCTTAAATTTTTAGGGGGTAATAATGTTTTAGAATTTAGAGAAGTGGCGAGAAGCAAAATTTAAGTATGGCAATATTTTTAGAATTTAGGGGAAGCAGTAGGCAGCAGAATTTTGGGGTGAAAAATATTTTATAATTTATGGGGGCACCAGGCACTAGAATTTAGGACCCGCAGAGATTGCACCAAGTGGCAAAATACTCACATATCCTTGCGTCCTTGCAAATGAGAACAGAAGGATCACATGTAGGGAGTTCACATGTAGGAGAATACGTGTACAAAAGTTTTCCCAACGAACTGGAACTTAATAGCCAGACTGTGCAAGCTTTCATGGCAGCTGGTAGGAATTCGAGTCCTAACATCACACAGGTAGTTGATCTTTGAGCGTGCGATTTCTTTCTACGAAGTGTCCGAAATTTCAGACTTTAAAGCTTCAATGCTCCGCATAAGAATTGAAAAATCATATTCAGCAAAAAGTGGGATGGATCCAGTTAAGATGCTTAAAAAAGTAATCTGTTATATTGGGAAAGATCACCGAATGACCTACAGCAGAATGACATTCCTCATGATAATAATATTTCTGGAAAGAAGGATGTTTTCTATGTGTTAAACTGTTAAAATGAGTTAAATGAAATTGAAAAGCCTTAAATGCTTTTGTTTGCATGCTATGTTTACATATGTCAAAATCAAATAAATGAAAATATTTAGTATCTGTGCCATTTTTTAAATGCCCTGATTCCTTGACGCAACTTGTACCAATGTTTCATGACTTCAAACATTCGATTACTGGTGGACATGTGAAACGTAAAATTTATAAATTAATTTACAGTAGTTTATGAGTCGCTGTTCAAGAAACATACAACGGAAAGAAAACACAGTATTTAAAAAAAATGTTAAAATCTTTATTTTATCCATTAACAGCATGAAATGAGCAAATCAAATGTTTTATAATTTTATGTTCCACGTATATTGGAGTCTTTATTTTCTTCTGCACGAGTTATTATAGATTGTTAACTTACAGATGATACAAAACATCTATCGCACATATTACAATTAGACAATTTTTATATGAGGAGAAAGCTATTGCATAGATTTCTCAAAAATACCATGTAAAATGAAAACAATTACATAAATATTCCAAGACCAAGCCTTTCTTTAGTTTGTATTTTGTTCTATGTTTATATTGATATTTGCTTTTTGTAGGAAACAATACATCATTTTCACATAGGAAAAAGTTAAAAACACAGATTTTTTTTCAGTTCTTCATAATAAAAAAACCATTCACAAAGGAAAATAAATTCACTGCTTAGTTTTGTTATCCATTCATGTTAATCTGTAGATAAATTAGAACAGATATAATTTTTTTAATTTTCAAGCGACATCAGTTTTATAATAGTTATAATTCAAAAGATAATTAAACAAATTAAAAGAAAAGCTTCAATGCAAAAACAACTTTTTTAACGATGCAATTATTTTAAGATACTATATTTAAAAAAATTATAAAACGATGAAAATGAATATTTAACTATGATTTCATATATATGTTAACATTTGTATAATTTAGCAAAAATTTGTCAAATTTAGGTACAAAATTAATACATTCGATACTCAATACAAAAGTTTATAGCTATGATTTTTATAGCTAACTATTATAATTTTATATACAAAACTGATTTTTGGGTGTAAATAATAAAGCAAAAAGTATAATACATGCTTATTAGATTATTAATAATTCAATTAGTTGTTATTTGTGCTTTTATAAAAATTATTTGTTTTTTTAACAACACTACATAATAATTTAAACAATATTATATAAAAGGTATAATAGCAGAAAAACGTAAGTTACAAATTTTAAATTACCACTATTGCCTTAATCTATTTTGATTTCCGAACCTTCCCATTCTAAATACTTGTAAATGGAATTCTTAACCTACTAATAAAATACCACTTAGCAGTAGTATTAACATTATGGGGATTAAGTGAAAAACCTTCTGTACTGTAAGATTGTTTCAAAATAAATGTGTAGTAAATTCTGAACTTAATTTGCTTACATTATTCTTTGTTCTTCATGCTTTTTTGTGAGCACTAAAGATGTTCTTTTCTACTAGAAATACGAATTGCAGATATCATGATAATGAGTATTACCATATCTCAAAGTACTATGGGATTTTGAAATGAAAGATTTTGACAAATGTATTAGATTTTGGGATAAATTCACCTATTTTGATACACATTTAATTTTATTTTTGCAAACTTTAAACAATATACAATAACATAACAAAATTATGAAATGAAATACATAAGGGCAAACAAAACATTCAATACGTATCTACAATCATAAAAAGTTTTTGATGTAATTTCATGTGTAATCATAAACTGAAAAATACATTCACTGAAAGAGATTTAAAATTTTTCAAACTTGAAAATAACCGTAGACTGGGATATAATAAGTACCTATGTTTGAATTCTGCATGAGTGGGTTTACCAAAGTACCAGCAGTTCATGCAAAAAAAATTTCTTTTGATAATGCTATCAATTATTTTGCTGTGTGTGTTTTGATAAGCAAAAACCAAAGTATGACCCTACATGCCGTTGAATCAAAATGTGCAAAAAAGGAAAATAAAGTCTTTAAACTTGGAAGTGGCTTCAGTATCCAGAAACGTTTACAGTTAAAAAGGCTATAATTAATTTTATTATTTTCTATACTATGCATAGTTATTTCTAAAAGATATAAATGTTATTGAAATAAAGAACATAGCTAAAATTAAATTAAAGAATAATTAATGACATAGCTATTTGATAAAAGTAAACTAACATTTAATGATTTATAAAATCTGAGAGCTTATGTAAACCTTAAGATGTAAATTTTAAGCAATATATAAACTTCATCACTAAAGCATAAAGTGTGATATACATAACCTGATATTTTTAAGAATAGCACTGATGAGTAATCAGAAGAACCTATTTCGAAATATAATTTTAAAATTTAAGGTAATGCGATTTGTAATATTAGTTTCATGCAACATATATGATGTACATTATCAGTAGAACTCTGTGAAACACTGATTTAAACTTTAATTTTATAATTATGTAGGAGTGGGAGAATAATTTGTAAAACTAAATGACTATATTTGAATTATTTTCACAAGCTGCTTTAATTTCAAATATAAAGTTACATTTAAAATGGCACTCTTAAGCAGTAGGAGATACTGGCCTTGATATGTTAACATAATTCATTATCCCTACAAAACTGCATAAAATGTTGAATTAAATATAAATTAATGAACTTTAAATTCAGAAGTTAAGTTCCAAAATACACAGAATTAAAAAAACGTTTACACATGAAAACAGTCAAAATCATCCCTTTACAAACACCATTTTAATAATGGCATTTGGAAACAGGAATAAAAAATTTGTAACTTTGCACAAAACTAAGCCATTCTTGTCATGATGAGAAAATGAAACCGTAGAGGTTTATCATTTAGACAGAGAAACAAAAATGTTCACAAATTCTGCAATCATCTTAAACTGTACATCTTCGGATTTAAAGCAAATGACAAAGAATAAATTAAGTCTTTTTTTTTTTTACATGAAAATGACAAGTATGAAACTTTTCACACTTAAAGAATAAATGCTGATATCAGCCAGTATATTCTCTTTAAAACTTAAAATTAGTCTCAGAGTGAACATAAGCCAGTAAATGGCTTTTAAAAGAAATTATCACAACATATAAAAACCAGTGTCTTAAAGAACTTGCTTGAAATCACTCGAGGCTAAACATAACACATGTACATAGCCACATAATTTAGTTCCTTGTGCCCATACAGTTTGAGTGACAATGCTCTCTTTTCATACTTTTCTCACAGCATACAAATATCATCTGATTGGAAAATGTGCAAGCACATTGATGAATGCTTAACTTGCAAATAAAATAGTTGAAACTTGTGGATGCTGTCTCAGATTCTGCAAACTTAAACAAGTTGACACAGAAATTTTATTGGAGGAACCACCTTTCCATTGCAGCTTTTCAGGTTGCATCCTGATATGACATCCACATAACTAGCCCTACACACACACACAGAAAAACCATATGTTATATTCTACAAATATTTTTTGCACAGGGATGTCTTCCCATTGTAATTGAGCATTTCAACAGCAAGAGTGCTTCTGTCATCTGGAGGAACATCTACGATAGTCTTTGGCATAATTTCGTAGTTCATTAAGTAGTTTTTCCTTTTAGATACCATCACAGATGATTCCAATGAACTGTGTTTTTATTTACAGAGTGAGCAGCCTTGTTGACGTTCATTTTTCTGTCAGTATGCAGGGCGGTCGCTTGAGCAGTAGAAAGAAGTCTTTAATAATTCGGCATCCTCCTAAATTCCACTGTTACAGAGGGGGACTACCCTGATATGTGACATCATTAGGATGGGTGAGCTGGCATTTCTAAAAAGGAAATCATCATCTTACTTAATGGGTTAAAAAACACATAAATCTTGAATTATAAAATGCTGATTTCAAGCTACTGAGCTGATTGTAAATGTCATTGTAAGACATTGTAAATTGGCCAGATATTAAGTGAAAATATTACATTTCATAAAAACTAAAAAGCTTAAATTGTTGCGAAAAAAGATAATTATACACTATCAACTCTTTAAAACTTCAGCATGTATATATAAATTTGATTTCTGTTATAAAATTTGAAACCACAGTCGAAAAACTGACTTACAGATGTCTAATGAATATAGCATTATTATTCAAAGTCAGATCTGATGCTCATTTTCAGGAAATATGGAACAATATGTTAAATACATTATGAAAATGAGAAGTAAGATGTGAAACTATGTAAGTACAGAGATTATGTGTTAGCAATATAAGAGGAAATTAACCATAACTGATTGAAAGGTATTGTGAAACGGGAGAAATTAAAGTTACTGATAAGAACTTTGAAAACAATTCTGATAATAGATGAACATGAAAAAAATTAATGTGAAATTTTTAATGAATTAATTTCATCAAATAAATAGATTAAATTTTGTCAAATAAATAAAATTTCTTTCCAATTAGTGATTTAAATATGTTAAATATACACTTTTCTATAAGAAACATTTTTGATCGTTTCATCTAAATTATTCTAGATTTTATAATGAGCTCACAAAAAATTACATCATGTTTTATTTTAATTTATTTAATACTGACTCTGCACTATGTGATGATTAAATTTATTTGATACAAACAATTTTCCTAATTAAAAAATTTACAGCTTTTAAAAATTAGCATGCTGGAGATGAATTTCATGCATAATTTAAAGAAACCAGAAATTAAATACTGCGCTTAAAAAGTGCACATTCAACTGACACGAACTGGTTATTTTGGCTGAGAACTTTTCCTACTTAAAAAATATGTTTCCCATTAAAGTCTACCGGAAAGTTCTGTTTGATAATGTTATTTTAAGCTTCCAACATGCATGCAGGTGAGACATGCACAGGCTGTCTTGCTTTATAACTGCATTTATAAACATCTGCTCTTCTAAATTAATTGAAATAAAAGTGTCTCGTGTCACTGTTAAGTGAGACGCGATGGTGTAAATACGGCTACGATACAGTTCATTAATGATACCATATTTTACATGCATACCAACAAGGGAAAAATGCTACAGAAGGTGTGTCGAAATTTAGTAACAGTTTTTGGTTGGGATATAGTTTCAGACAGAACGTGTAGGAGTTGGTTCGAAACATTTGAAGCAGGTGATTTCAACCATAATGATAAGCCACGCTCTAGGCACCCATCTTTGGTCGAAGGCGATATTGTCAAGACTATGGTATTGCAAGATCCTTTTTTGACAACATCAGAAATTGAGGGAAAGCTTAACTCAGCTCAACAGTAAAGATTTTGGATCATATTCGGATACCAGGATTGGTCTATAACTATTTCAAATGGGTTAAGTGAGAAAGACTGTATGATAGCGTCGTCCTATGCACATCTGTAATTGCTCAGAGCAGAAACAAGCACTTTTTGAACCAGTTCATAATTGACTTCGAAAAGCGGTTCACTTACGAAAACATCGTTACGAAAAGAGCATACTGTGATCTCAAACAACCTGCTTTCTTTCCCTCTAAAGTCTAAACAGAGATTGAGCCTAAAAAGAGTGGTGAGACGTCCAAGGATCAGCACATTACGAATTTTCGAAACCTAAAGAAAAGCTGAACTCGGAGAGATTCCAGTAGATTCGGAGAGTTCAATTCGGACTGTCAGCAAATGAATGCTTTAAAAACGAAGCAGTTAAAGAGAAGATGCCGATGTTGTTCAATAGCAAGCATCTACTACATCTCCGCATCTACTACACTCCCCAGATCTAGTACTCTCCGATTATCAATTTTGCAAGATTCCCTTCTTGAAAAATTTTTGAAGGGGAAAAAATTCAGATGTAAGCCGAGCACTATTTGAGCTCTTCGCCTCACAAGCCATTTTTTAAAAATGTCTAAAATAACGCTGTTAAGAGGTCATAAGTAACGACAGATATTATATTCTACAATAAATATTATTAAAGCTTTAAAAAATATATTATCTTCTTTCACTTCTCAAATGGACAGAATTTTCCGTTAGACTTATATTATTAGACAGAGGAAACAACTGATTCTGGATAATTTTAAATGCATTTATACCAAGTATTTGTTACTAAAATTCTAAGTAAATGATCATTACATTCTTAAGCAACAAATTTTGGAATAGGTAAAATGTTTAAAAAATTAGAAACTTACTTGTTGTTTATTTTGCCACGTCTTCATGGCCATCTTATATTTTTCAAATTCATGGCACCAGTCAGAATAAACTTTTCGGTATTCTACATCAGTTGGTGCACTACATGTTTCTGAAATGGTAATAATGGAATTGATATTAGGAAAGGAGAAATAAAAATTAAAATTTCCCCTGCTTAAATGTAATAAGAAGTAATATTAAAAGAAGTGTTCCGAATTCTTGTTGAAAAATTCTTAGGAATAAAATAAAATAAAATATTATACACTATTATATCTTTCCCAAATAAATAGGATATTTATTACAGGCTCAATTTGTTAAAAAAGTTTCAAAAGAAGAGGGATTCAGCATTTAACACAAAAATGTTTTTCTTTCACAAAGCATTTTGATTCTCACCATTATCAATAAATATGTGTATTATGATGATTCTTGTGATTATAAACAAAAATATATAAGATTTCCACTGAAAATGATTATCTTTCATTTAATATACCATGAAATGAATTAAGCGTATACACTGAAAATTTCCAGCCGTATGTATGATAAAATTCTGACACACACACACACACACACCAAAAAAAAAAAAAAAAAAAAAAAAAAAAGTATTTATTGTAAAAATGGTTCTGGAGCTTGCATTTTGATGTCATTTTTCATGCAAAATATTAAAAAAATTGCTCTACATATGTGTGTGTGTATCCAATATTTTTCATGATTTAATAATTATTATTGCTTAACTCCATAAAAAACTGTATTTTATTGTTAACCACATGATTCCTATAGAAGGCTTTTGTGAAAAATGATGTCACTAGCTTGTTTTACTGAAAGCTACTTATTAAGAGAACAGTAACACAATAGTGTACTATAGGATATAATGTATGTTGCGTGTGCAGCTGTAGCTTAACAAGATATCAAATAAAAGAAAAATCTAGATTTCAAACAATATTATGTTCTCTTACCACTGGCTATTTTTTCTTGTGATTCTTTATATACACACACATATATATATATACAGGGTGTCCCATCAAGATCACCCAAACTCTGCACAGCCGGATTTCAAGCTTAGATGCATAAAAAATGCCCAAAGTATTGTAACAGTACAACCCATAACTTTCGAGATATATAGGGGATTCAGAATTCATCATCAATATTTGGTGGGGAGTAGGGAATAGGAAAAGAAGGTGATTTCACATAGGAAAGTATGGGCGCAGACGAATACATGGGGGTGTGGAGGGCGCTATGTGTACACAACTTCCATACATAAGCACAGCTGTTTGCCGTTGCAACCAGTCGCCATTCGACTAGGTGACTTTGCAGAAGTAACATGAACCGGTATACGTGGAATGAATTTGCAGATATGCATGTAAATGCCAGGCATATTCCAGAAGGTCTGGTTGTCCATGCAACGCCGTTGTGAGTCATGCATTCTAGCACATGGTCAGCAGTTCGAGCACCTCTTGTAAGTCTGTAAAACCGATGCAAAGAAATGTTACATGCAAGATAATAAATGTTTTCCCCCCCTTACTACTTCCTTTTTATGTATTCTTTCCATCATTGAACTGGGGTCATTTTGCCCTACTACATGGCATATGCGCCCATGCATTCCTATGTGAAATATCCTTCTTTTCCTATTCCCATCCTCCCCACCAAATATTGATGATTAATTCCGAATCACCCTGTATGTGAAAGAAAAATTTGGCTTCATATCCATCATATCACCCATTATTCTTGTATGATGGAGCTCCGGTTCACTTCAGCATTTCTGTACCTGATTAGCTGGATATGGAATATGCAGGTGCTGGACTGGACGTGGGGTCTGGTTTTATGGCCGCCATGATTGCCAGATTTGACACCTTAGGATTTCTTCCTATGGGACCATCTGAAAGAATTTTTGCATCAATACCTACTAACTATGGAAAATTACTTAGTTGCTCGTCTTCATGCTTTTTTAAAATAAACTTTTGATTCCCTTAAGGCAATAAATACTTCCCTATTACATATTCTTAATTTTATAGTTTATACATGTCCTCTAACTGGATTTAAAGTGATGATCTAACATCTGGAAAAATCCGGAATCTCCGAAGCTTCGACGAGTATGGATCTCTGACATGTACTATAATTATGATGTATATTATCATTATTATGCTGTACAGCATACATGAAACAGTTAAAACCCTCTGATCGGCAAGGCCGTATATATACGGTCTAGAATATTTTTGTGATGTCTGTAAGAACGTATATATACATGCTTCTTAAAATATACCCAAGAAATTAAGGCAATATATTAAAAGTACATAAATTTAGATATAACGTACCAGGGGCATTCTGATATTAAAATCAAGAAAATAACTTTTTTGTAGTTTGTAAAAAAAATGATATTTTCCATTATCTCAAGTATACAAATAAAATTTTGTTATATTGTCACAAAGAGCATTGCCTCTTCACGTGAAAAGGAAGTATGCATTTATCAGCAATTACAAAATCTGATATGATGATTAACAAATACATATAAGATTATAAATAACCAATGCAAATGCAACAACATGTTATGAAAATAATGGTAATATATCTTACTGGTATCAACAGTGATATTGTAACTGCATAATGTATTAGGCCCTAGCTTGCAGTCATAACGGCCACTGTCCCTCTCGGTCACAGATAATATGACTAGTCCTTGGTCTTGGGTATAGATATATTTCTCTCTCCGTTGCTGAACTTCGTATTTGCCCTTTTCTCGACTGTACCGATACCACTTCGAAACACCCGGTACTGCAGTTTCAGCTTGCGGTAAGTGTATATTACAAGCAAGATGTACACTTTGGCCCCAGTACACATGAAGTGGCTTATTTTTCACACCTAAATTACGGAAACACATATAAAAATACGTTTTCATCTAAGAACATGCAGAACATGATTCAGGGATGTCAAAAACATGATGCACAAGTGATGAAGACTTAACTACCTAATATTAATTGCTAACTTATTAATTAAATGTTATATTTTTAACATTCAACATTAATTAACATTATTTAATCCTTAATTAAAAGTTATATTTTAAACTTATATTTTAATGCAAACAATTTAATTTGTTTTTCAATGTCTAAGATAAATGAAAGTAAATTTTTGAAAACTATATTAAAAGTACTTTGAATACTCAAACAGAAATAAATTTAGCGATTAATAAAATATATTATTTGTGGAAGAATTATTTGCATAAGTCCAATTTTTATCAAAAAGAACATAACGGGAAAAAGAAGCTGTTAAAATTGCAAGAAAAAATTATCAATAATGTTATACACATATATATTCTAAATAATAATATAATGGCTTATATTACAAGAATTGTATTAGTATGTTCCTAAGTTTGCAAGGTTTTTTTGAAACATTCTTATAAAAAAATGTTAATGTATAACTTACTACTATCACATATTCCGGGAGTAGCATTAGTCACATCCTGCAAAAGGCTGTAATAAAGAAAAATTTGGTAAAATTCAAATTTTAGTTCTTACATTATAATTTATATGTAAATACAATACTAAAATGATTCCAAATAGAAAAGTAAAGATATAAAAATATTTTGCAATTTTTTAAATTTTAATTCAAATGCTGAAAAATTACAGATAATTTCCTTGCAAAATTCTTTGTTCTTGGTTTAAAATTACCGACATTAATTATCAAGATCACAATAAACATTGGCCCATCTTTGGCTCAAATGTTAAGGCACTCATAACTGTAATACGATTCAGGATCGGATCCCGGCGAATTAGCCAATCGCATAGCCGTTTTCCCTTTCACACACGCAACGCGAATATGACTGTCACCATCGAGATAGACAAGGCCTGCGCTCTGAAACGAAACTGGCTTGTGACGTCACGGTTAAGGGACCCTCAGCAAACTTTTTATCGGCTTTTATAAGTTGTAATTTTTTATTCATTATGTTTTTAAGAATGAATTTATGTTTACTTTTGACATCTGAAGCATCATCCCTTGTAATAATTACTAACACTAGTAATATAAACAATTTGTCAGCAAAATTTATGATTATTTATTTTAATTGGAAACTAATTTTATATGAAATAACTGTCCTAAGGGGTTAAAAGCATAACAATTATTTCATTACATAATATGTAGAATATCAAATGCAGAGTAAATTTGGTTCTTGGCAGAGTTACTGTGTTCTTAAATTTAAATATCAAATGTTTTTTGCAAATAATTAAATATTTTCATTTTATCATGATGAAATTAAATGGATATGTTTAGCTAATATAGCTTCTGTTCACTTTTATATATGTTTAATCATGCAATCAGTTGTTTGTTAAAATTTGTTACGCAATATATCTTTTCTGAGAATGATAGAAAAGTTTCTAAAGTAATGTATGTAAGATCATATTAAGGTAATAAATTGCGAAACTGCAAAATGAAAATTTTAAAAATGTACAGTTATTGAAGAAGCAGTAGTAATTGAATTCATATGTAGACATACTTTTTTTCATTGTAATTTCAATTCAATGCAATTTTAAAAAAAAAAATTTTAATTATCTTTTAAATTACCAATCTTTAATTTGAGTACGTGGCACCACCAAAAGCTATGTAAGTTAGTTAAAAATAATTGCTTACATTATACAGAAAAGTTTTTGAACATGATTTGATTTATATTTTCTTTTTATGATATGAAACAGAAGGTAACGCTTATAGTTAAATAGGTATGATGTAAAGAAATTTCCAGTTTCTAATTTTTAAGTATTTCGTATTTTTTTAAAATATTTTTCAAAAAATTGTGTATAACTTATATTAAAAAACTTTTTTTTTTTCCCTGTTTGTTAAAGATGATTTATTTACTGAAGAATTTTAAGTAGTGATAGAATTTGGCAATTTTAAAAGGAAAAGTTTTGCAGAAAAATTGTCTTGTAAATTTTATATAGGATAGGTTATCACCTTATCCGTAAAGCGCGCAGGCCTTATCTATCTCGATGGTGACGATATGACCCTGTTTTCCTTAGAAATCTTTCCATGGAGGCATTCGTTCATTAGACAGATAGCTCTAGTATGCTAGCCGTAATCACAAATTGCAGTAAAAGGTGAAAAAATATTTCCAACAATAAATAACTAATAGTATATTAAAAATTTTAATTGTCATAAATTAACGCAACAACAATAGTTGTTGCACTTGATTTATGGCGCAAATAAATGCAATATTAAGGCATTGACACTGCAAATCAATGCCTAAAATAAATAAAATAGCGTAATTATGAATACGTCAGTAAAATAAATAAAATAGCGTAATTATGAATGTAATTAATTTAGAATTTGTGAGCTCGGTGACATCATTTATCAAGTAATAAAAAGACTAAAATAATCCGAAGCTGCAGGTTATCCGAAGGTTAGCATTTCCGAAAAAAAAAAAAAAAAAAAAAAAAAAAAAAAAAAAAAAAAAAAAACCGAGATATTTTAAGAAAAGGTAAATATAATTGACTGGATCCAAGTTGCAGTTTGATGCACAATATTGAGTGTTATATTTCAAAATCCGTCGATAACTCCAACCGAAACTATTCCTTTTCAACGTAAGAAATACTTTTATACACACAACTAGATGGCAGCACTTGTTACTCCATGCATTGCAAAATTTATTGCTCCCCGCGTTTAACAATTTATTTCGTTTCATATTATTCTGGGGTTCAAGTCGTTTTACAGGTAATTAATGTAATTAATTTATTACACTTTTCACAGTGTGGTTACGTTTTTACACAAAAGTTTAAATTTTTCATTTCTGGTCATTTCGTAGTTTAGTTTGTGCTGTTTAACTGAAATGTTTAGAACAGGCCTTATAGGAAGTAAAAGAATTTTCCATTCCAGTTAATTTTCCGAATTTTAAAAGATTTCACACAATTTTAAAATTTAATTTGCCATGACAACAGTAGATTTTCTTTGCTATGTTTTATCTACTATTTTGCAACAATCAACTCAGCCCCCAGAAGAGCTATTAATCTCAAAACGGCATTTTGCGTCGAATCAGTTTTCAGATTGTTGCCGCCAAATATTATCCCCTTGTATTATATTTAAAGAAATAAAATAACGAACAATCTGCATGAATGCAAGCATGTTTCTCACATTCTGAGGAAACAACGGCACCCAGAGACTGTGTATCGGAAATTTTAAAGATATGCTCGTTTTAAAATTATTTTGCGCTATTGATGTTGAACCGAATTTTATGGTTTAAATGCAAAGAACACGATATTTAGTAAATAAAGGTAACACACAAAACGTTAAAGAAACGCCCCTTTGGACGTAATGTAAAATCTGAAATCTTTCAGGTTTTGTTGATTTTTTTTTTTTTTTTTTGTTTTTTTTTTTTTTTTTTTTTTTTTTTTTTTTTTTTTTTTTTTTTTTTTTTTTTTTTTTTTTTTTTTTTTTTTTTTTTTTTTTTTTTGTTTTTTTTTTTTTTTTTTTTTTTTTTTTTTTTTTTTTTTTTTTTTTTTTTGTTTTTTTTTTTTTTTTTTTTTTTTTTTTTTTTTTTTTTTTGTTTTTTTTTTTTTTTTTTTTTTTTTTTTTTTTTTTTTTGACAGGTTTGTTTTTCTAGATTTTTTTTGTTTTTTTTTTTTTTTAAATTTTGTTCCACAAAAAAAAAAAACAAAAAGGTTCTTTATGAACCTGTGTTCATTTAACTGGGTTTTTGATTTCAATTGTTTCTTTTATATTACGCTCTTTTTTGCCCTTTCGAAAGATAATTACCGGTATCCTGAACAAAAAAAAAAAAAAAAAAAAAAAAAAAAAAAAAAGCATCTATTACGAATCGATAAAAAGGCATCTGTCGTTCATAAAGTGTTCTATCGATTCATAAAAGAATGTGTTCCCTTCGACGGACTGAACACATCTATTTCGGGACAGAAGGTTCACATCGAATATATTCATTTAAATGGAGGCGGTGAAATCTATACATGATATAAAGCTATACTTAATCACTTTTATGGCTTCTGGATAATATAGCTTTAGTGTTTTTGAAAAGGAGAGCTCTCACTGCCATGCTCCGTTATAAGATTCTGAAAGATTAAACAGTTTTCCATACGACAGTATTCATTCTTTTTGAAATCACGAATGGTTTGAGATAATTTTCAAAAATCAGATTCTTGACTAAGCCATAATTAATATTGTTAAAGTTTTTTCCCTCCATTATTGGTTTCAAATTATACAAATGCTGTAAGTTTTGGCTCAAATAAATGGGTAGCACAGTCTTAATCATGTAGCTGAAGAAAGATCACAAGACAAAATTCATGCCTAGAATAAGCGATTGTATAATGCAATCAATCGACTCTCTTCACACCAGAAATTGTAAATTTCATAGGATATTCCGTTACCTTTAATGGCATGTCTGCTACTATAAAAATATTAAGCTGAACTTATCATTAAATTTGTAAACAAAATAAAATGCATGCATTTACTTGATTACTTTCCAATGAAGTGTTAAATAATAAATTAACTTTATAAATAACAGTTTGAAATAAATTTACAGCACTCATACTATAAGGTATTTCTCCCGCCTTCTTAGCATGCCTTCGTGGTGTATGGTCAGCACGCTCGGCGCAGGTCCGTGGTTCGCGTCTTGGCGAAGGCATTCCTTATTTTTCCTCTCTCCTGCTTTTCAAAAAGTACCTAATGTTTCTACAATACTAATTAGGTAACAAAGAAGGGAATAGACATATTTAATACTTTCATTTTTGTTATGTTTCAGTAAGCTTATTGTCTGTCGTAATTTCATTTTATGAAGCCTCGTTTTCTTTGATAACATCAAATGTTTGAAATTTCTAAACACTTTAAATGAATTATCACTATGTCTTGTAAAGTATCACAGAGACTGGGAAAGGGTGTAAAAAGGACCCTTTGATTTAACTCAAATCAAAGTTAACATAAGGCACTACTCGTGTTTACAGAAACCAGTATTTATGTTTTAGATCAACGATAACGAATTTGACTCAACTAAATAACTGTAAGTTAGCAGCGCGCAAGTTGGTTCTGATCTAAAGTCGGCCTGACAAGCTTAATAGCGAAAATAACGCGACGCCAAGGAATGATACTCTCAAGAGAATAAATTAGCAGCATGGCCTTTAGCAGGCAGAGAACACGTTCTAATTTTATCCTCTATAATCTGCCTTTAAATACTATCTCCTTTCTACCTCATTTGAAAGACGCGAGCTACAAATTTACATTCTAGCAGTAAAATAGGATATAAAAAGGACAGTACTGCAAATTAACATAAAATAACTGGTTAATAAAACTTAATGTATAGTCTGGTTAATAAACTTGATGTATAATTACAATTTTTACTAAATGACTGTGAACTTCAAATATCAGCATTTAAATGTATTTTTAAACTCTCCTAATTATCTTGAATTTTCAGGAGACTAAACGGGACAGCAAATAAAAATAAATCTAAGCGGCTGAATGTTCTTAGACCATTATGTTATTCCTGAGGACGAATAAGGACATGTAACAATCACCGGAAAGGCACAAATAGTGTAACCTTAATAACGAACTGAACGAATAGTTAGGATAAAAAAATAATAAAAAACAACAACTAAATTCTTCGAAATGCTAAAAATTAAGGATAAGAATTCTCGAGAAAACATTATTATGGTAAATAATACTGTAATTACTTTAATACGTTGTAATAACTTGACAATAAAGATCTGGTGAATTAAAGATAAACTTTAGTCCAACACCGTAGACAACCTCTAATTCCTAACGAACATCGCAAGCAGAGATGTAACGCACATTAATAATAGTTTAAATATTCAGCCTCCGATTTACTTAGCACTCAATTTCCGTATAGTATTTAGAAAGAAAGGTTTAATGTCGAGAAAATACGATAACTGACCAGTGTGCATATTGATTACTTCTTCGTGACAACATAAATAATTTTATACAACTTTCTCTTTCTTCAAGGAGCATCTGCTTCAGTTGCCTGGTATTCTCCGGAGGGTAAAATGGTGCCACCAGGCGTCTTCCTAACTATCCCACACACGTTCAAAGAGATTTAAACCAGAAAGTACGTTGGAAAAGTCTTTCTGTGGATATCTTCATTTTCCAGGATATTCGTGGATAATTCTTTTTTCCTAACGGTAGTGGGATGAAAGCTTGTCTCTACCTCTCTTCATATGAAACGGGCCGAGAATCGTTTGTCAAATCGAAACGACTCTCAGTCAATGCTATGCAACATTCAGGACGACAGGGGAATAGGCCATAGAGATGAAGTTGCCTGGCCACAAACCGGGCCACAGCTGCCGAGCTGTATTGCCCGCTGTCTGGTTTCGATCTCTTTTCGCTTTCAGGATGATATATCCTGCAACCGTTGTTTTCCTTGGTCGATTAGTTACCGTTACCATTGTTTTCCTTGGTCAGTTAAAGTTGTTTACCTTGGTTGACCACCATCAACCTTTGTTGCAGCTGTACCTGTTGTTTGGAAGGCTTTCCAAGCTCGAAAAACAACACTTTTATCAGTTCCAAACTCTTGTGCGGCAGATGTCAAATTACGCACCTTCTCAAGTTTGCCAATCATTCTATCACGTGTAAAGGTGCCCTGATGTTTTCTTGTAGCCATACTGGACATATAACCTCATTTTTACTGGCAAAGAAATGCTTTCTCCCTTCCTTTTTAAGCTGCCTTGCACTGCGTGCGCTAACTCCTAGAGTTTCGCGAGTTTTGAAGTTATGGTGCCGGTATTTGAATATGCCTCAACTTTCTACTGAGATGGCGTTTCACTGTACTATCGTAAAAAGCCCTTTTCAACAATTTCTCGGTTGTATGCTGAAAAATGAATTTATTGCTTAAATTTTGCATACTATATTCGCTAATTTCAATCATTCCGAAACATCATCTTTTAAGCTTTTGAATTATGTCTACAAATTAACAGCCAGCACTGCTTTCATTGTCAAAAATAAACCACATTTCTTACTGTAATACATAACAGGAAGGTTGTTAAATGACTAATTATTGATTAGGAGGGCCAAAAGGTTAATCACTGATAAGATTCGGGACGATTACTGATTTTAGCTGCACCTTTTCTAATGTTACTACATTTCCCCAATTTCTTTAAACTGATTGCTGGCTTGGTCAACAGAGACCTCGGTTGATAAAGATTCTAACCATATGTATTTCCAATCAGTTAGTATTCAATTTCGACATCAGGAAGATTAGATCTTTGGAAGTAAGAAGAAAGTTTCATCTCCTTTATTTAGATACCTCCATGGTCTAGACACAAGGATTTTGCAACTGATACAATTCAAGTAGCAGAACGTGGATAATTCTACCGCTTAAGAAACAATTATACAACAAATAAAATTCTTCTGATACTTACCCAGTTACATATGGTTTGCATTCATTATGATCTTTATCCCAACCACAGTAAGGATCTTGTATACATCGCAAGCAGTTATCATATCTTCCCTTGCACATGATTAGATCAAACTGACGGATAAATGAGTCAGAAGAAATGTAGAGAGACTTGTGCTGAAAAGTTAGAAAAACCAAATCAGATTTAATTCCGTGTAACCGAGAGATTCAGGTATTTTTTTTTTTTTTTTCCAAATGTTATAATGTTTAAGCACACGCAACATAGAAATATAATTGCAATGGACAGATCGTGAATTTAAACAGCAAAATTAGTCACAGTCAAGTTTTAAAACAATAAAATTTGTCAGTGGAAAATAAATACGATCTGCATTTTGATTTATATAGGATAAATGTCAGAAGAAGTAACACACAATAACATCATTTCTTACATTCCCATGTTTGATAGATAAATACTCTTTAAATGGAAGTTCTTATACAGTGTATGTTGTTTGCAAAATACGGTAACAAAGGAAACATAAATACCTTGCTAGAGATTTCCATGGATCTGATTGGCTCAGGCGTTGTAGCTTCAAATATGTCAACAAGGTTAGAATGCTCTTCGCCATCACGGTTGTACCATTCTACAAGCTTATATATAATTCCTTCATCTATTATAAACGAGTAAAAATTTTTATAATATATATCAACTACATAAATGAACTTTATTAATAGAAAATAACAAATTTTAAAACTAATTGGTCCAAATGTTTTCAATAAAAAATAATTTTTAAAGCTATTTAAATAGAGTGAACACGTGTATATTCACCCGTTTCTTTAAGTATAAAAACATTCTAAAATCCACAGCCATTTCTCAAGTTGTCAGAGTCTATTAACAACTGCAGATAGTGACAGTAATCTAATACGCCGTAACACTGTATAGTATCAAAACCTTTTAAAAATAACATGGTGCGGACAACCGATTTTTAGAAAAGAAGCTCATTCAGTATACTCGAATTCTTTTATTCTCTCCTTTCCCAGAATATCCAATGCAAATTTAAACACCTGTTACAACAAATGAAGTCTAGCTTTCTTTCTCGAAATGCTACCTCTTCTAGGAATACTTTACAACAGGTGCAGACTGCCTACTTTAACTGAAAGGTTACAAATTAGGTCATTTAGAAATATACAGGCTTACAGACGCAAGTAAGTAAAGTTTATAAAAGATTTTAGTCATTCCTCCTTCTCCTTTTTACATTATGTAATATCTACATGAGAAAGATTTATTCAGTTACACTTTTTAATAATAAGACCTTGCTTTCTATAAGTTTGTTTCTTCTATTGAACTCAAGAAATGTTTTTAAAATTATGTTAAAAAAAAAAAAAAAAAACTTACAACAGGGATATTAAGAGAAAAAGCGAAGATAATTTCTGCGAATGGGGAGGCCATCATTAACAAAAGCTATTCTGCTAAGGTCCATCGCAAGCCAAATACTATCTACTGCTATTAAATACTTCTGTTGCTGTTAAAATTTGCGCAAAATGAGAAGATGAACAGGATTTTCAAATCGAACTTTAACGAAATGGAGACATCATTAATTCGACAACTCAAAGAAGCAACAATTTCAAAAACGCTCAAGTTTTCGAAAATTTTCTCATCACGTCCCAAGTCGAACAGATATTATTCTATGACTATTTTAAAATTATTGTAAGATGACTATTTTAAAACAAAATAACATACAAGAAAAGAAAACACGCTTTTCTTTTATATATTCAATTTGAATTTCCTAAGAAAATCTTAATAGTGAGTTAAATTTTAACTCATTCAGCTTAACATATGACTTTATACTAGATTTCCACAGTGACGTGCTATCCAGCTTTGACTGTAATAATTTAAAGCTAAATCTCGCAAAGTACGGTATGAAATGTTTATTTTAGCCCAGCGAGTTTACTTTGTAAAGAGTAATTTCAACAACAGTTCTACAATATAAAATCTGACCAATTGAAATTAGAAATAGCAAATTATCTCAAATGAAGTTACATTTAATTCAATGAAGTACATTTTAAAAGCAATGAAACTCTCCTTAACTTAAAATGCTTTAATTATGATTGTAAAGGTTTTTTTTTTTTTTTTTTTTAACGGCTAGGAGGCAAAACACATTAAAGGTTTCGATGACTTACTTGTTGCGACATAAAATACAGTAAAGGGCAGGCCATCTACTTCTAAGCGGTCAACAACCAGCCTTGACAACTGTATATCCCTTTTGTAGAATACTGGCTTGCCATTATCGTGAGCAACAGCGGAATCCATGAGGGGATGGCCACGAATGAAATTAAGCACGGAATCTGGTAAAGTCTGAGTGTCATTTACGCACAGACCAGGACGTGGTTCCGGGACTTTACTGCTGAGAACAGGCAGCCATGCTGACGACGAAGTCGCCTGTTCTTTGAATTTACCATTGAAAACTTCTTGTATGGACTCTAAACTGAATGTGCAGACAGCTGATCCCGTTAAACCATTCCTGAAATGTCCAAGAAATAATTCTATATTAATTATGAACATTTATTCCTGAATGCCGATACACCACAAATATTTATTATAAAGAATATTTAAGCGATTTTATTGGTATGCAGATAATTAACAAATGTAGCACGATAATTGCAACAGACAAAGTTTCAAGATAATTGGTAAGGAAGGCAATTGTGAAAAATAAATGAACATGAGTAATACACTAGCCTCCAGTTGTCTAATATTTATAGTTCGACCGCCTCATCCGCGATCATGAGCGTAAACACGCATGCGCCATTCGGACCGAATTATTCTCTAAATAGGGTGGAAAGATGGGGACTTTCTTTCCCTCCAGCATAGCTCTTTCCGGAGAAGAAGAGACCTTTCACGTCGCAGCAAGTAATACCCCCTTTTTGGACGAGGTCTATGTGTTTTGGCAGAATGCCAACCAGGGTTGCGCATGAGACGGTCGAACTATACTTTGGGGGGGGGGGTATTACAGAATTAAAGTTATCAGGGAAGAAAAAAAGACAGACTAGTTCTCAAACGCGTTTGCAGTTGCTTTATGTTACAGAAGTTTTACTGTTCTCCTTTCCCATGAGCAGAAATTCTAGTTGAAAAAATTGAAATTAGCACTACATTTAGTGTTACTTATGTAACACTTTAAAATTAACTGCTACATTCGTAACGGTAGTTTATATTATACAAGGTAGCAAGAAGCCAACTAACACATTTCAAATCTGCTGGAAAAGTAGTTTGTCTTATTGACAGAAATGAAGCAGTAAAGGATAGGAAGCCATTTCATATAGTCAGTCGTAACTGAGTAGCCGGAACATGCAATAACGTATCAACTGTGTTCGCAGTCATTTACGGAAAAATGGCTGAGAGAAGTATGCAACGCAGTCTTAGTGTGCCCGATCTTTCCCGTCAGGAAGGGTTTCTGGAAGGCCATGTGATCTGAAGGAATATCATGAACTATTCAAGAATTCAAACAAACCATTGCTGATTATGTTGAGGTTGCTGGTTAAAATTTTACAGAGGCGCGTGTACGGCAATTTCAAGTCATGCTTATAACTTAACAATGGTGTAAAAGAAGGCCATCGGTTTGACGTAATTTTCAAAAAATAAATATGAAATCTGTGACTAATAAACAGCATCCTTTGATGGATGAACTTACAGAAGATTTTGCTTATTTTTCCGTTTTTATACATTACCTGTAATAATTTGTAATGCATTAATCGCCTCTGCATCACCGTACATAAGTTACTACTATGCATAAACTATGCATATGAGTTTAAAATTCAATGCGACTCAGATATAACTGTGACTTATATAACCCAAGCACCATTATATATGAGTATCTGAATAAAACTAAATCTAATTTAAATGAGCTCATACAGAAAATATTTATTTCCGTTTAAAAATGTCATATCACATTTTGTAAACGGAAAAGTAAGAATCGGTGCGAAGTGTGGAAAATCAGAACTTGCTTTTAAATACGAAAAGCAAAGTAATTAAAAACGTATTGTACCTCTTCATCGCATCTTTTTTTTTTCCCGCTTCTTTATCTAATGCTACTCAGTGCCTCAGCAAAAAAATACCAATGATTTTTTCAAAATGAGCTTTTGATTCTGTTGTCTGTTTGAGTAATAATTATAATAATAAAAGCCTAAAGAATTGTTCACCATCTTTCTTTCCCTTTCCCTTCTTTGCTTCGATCTTAATAATTTGGGTATTTTTCCTCTTAACTTTGATATAGTAGAATAATTTTTTTTTTCATTTTTAACAGTAATTTTGTGAAATTAAGAAACAATTTAAAATACGGAATTTTCATCTCATATATAAAAGTTCAAAAATATGATTTTTTCCTCATTGTTCATAGATCTACAGTCTAAATATCCTACAAATTTCTGATTTTACTTATTCATAATGCTTAGAAATGTGTATGTATGTACGACTAATAACACAAAAATCTCAGTTATAGAAAAACGGAAAAATCTTTCACATTTTATGGTTTGCATTTAGAAATAAAAACGTATATATAATAAATAAATAAATGAACATTTAAAAGTAGTAATTGCTGTCATCTTCGAAAACGATCATTTTATATTGTTGCATTTTTGCAACGTTGCCTTCCCAGTTGTGAAGTATGATTTTGTAGCCTTGTCGACATAGAAAATGTTTCGCTTTATGTAATCAAATTAGTAAAAGTATAAACAGCAAATCGGAATAGCTCAATTATCTCGAAGATGCCGTAAATAACATTTAGAAACACGAATAAAACCGTAATATCGCAAATAAACGTTCAGATGTCAAAAATAACGTTCAGAAAAACAACAACAACAAGACTATCATCGATCAAATAACAAAGATTCAAACAATTTTTGCTGCACTTAAATTGGATTGCCTATAAATGTTTCTTGATGTCCACAACTGCTATCAAAAATGATTAAGTCAAACCTAGAACTAATACTTTGGTCAGCATTTCTGCAGAAAATTCAGGGAAGAGGCTTCAGAGAATAAAAACACTAGTAGACTTTTCATAAGTCCCCCCTCCCAGTTTCATCACTGGATAAATTGGATATTATGTCTCTTAATGATGACGGTCTGCTGAGCTCCCACAACACAATGCGCCTCTTCCCTTCCCTTTTCCTCTCAGACTCCCTGTATAAGGGTACTGAATTTCCATCTCTTCAAAGTCAGGCACCAATAAGGACTTATTTCCTAGTATCCGGAATAGCGCATTATGCTAGAGCCATATAAAACACTCGAATATCCGAATATCTATGTATCTAGTAATAGTCTCACTTCCGGTCAAAAGTCAGAGTGGTAATAAACCCTTCTTGAAAAACGCAGAGTTTCCCGGAAATTTTTGAAAAGCAGCTCCTAAGTACCACACTTCCCAGTCTGTGAATGAGTCATTCCCAACCCAGAATTAAATCAAAGTTTAACTTGAAAATTATGGAAATTTAGAGAAATATCGATTTCAATTAAGCAGCATATGAGCTGCTATATTAGTATGGAACTTAAATGCTTTTCCTTGGAAATCAATCAATTGGTTGAATCAGTCAAGAAATATTTTCTTTTGCATTTCAAATTGACAGAACTTTTGAAAACTTAAACTAAAAAGAAAGAAAAAGAATGTTCAACGTTCAATGAATTTCGAAAGGCAATAGCACCGATCCATCTTCTTCATTAAATTGCAGAGACGAAGCATAGGTAAAGAAAATAAAAATACATCACGGGCAGCTGGTACTAAGTTTACTTGTTATTTAAAAAATTATCATCTGCGATTTTTCTTACAAACACTTCTAAGCTCAAAATCTATTCTACACTATCACCTACATCTATAATAAGTAATGCCATTTCTGCATTTTATTTAAACTATCCATCGACACAGCATTCAGCAAATGCAGATGAAACTGAAAAAAACAATAATGGAAGCTATTAATGGAGTTCCGAATAACATACATCAAGTAAAACAGAAAATTTGAATTGCTTGAATGAATAATGTACAGTTTACAAGTTACCTTACAGTGTGCTTATACAATGCCAGACTGGTTGGCTAATTAACGATAAAAAAACAAAATCTTTGTATTTTTGACGCAGAGGTAGTTAATATGCTTCAGGACCACATGTTGGCACACCTAATTGGCAAAAGCTTCATACCCTGCGGATTGATCGTTTAATATCTGCTATGTTGAAAACGTAAAAAATACGTAATTAAGCGAGGGAAGTCTTTTTTTTTTTCCGGAATAGGGACCAAAAAGATTAAAAGTAAATACAACGCGGTGGTTTATCCGTTCTTGTGCTAAATGAAGTTCAGCAATTAACGAACCTCGGGTTAATTGTATTTGATATAAATATATAAATCTTCTCAAAGACAAAAAACTACCTGAAATTAAAGCGTAGAGGTTTAATTAGTAACGGTTAGCCAATATCGGCTCTAATGCAGTTTGTTGTCGCCGGCTGCAGACCAGAAGGTACGTAAGACAAAAAAGTGAGGCGACGTGGCGTGCATAAATAAAATGTTCTGAAAAATAATGTTGAGGCTGCATTTTGTTGCTTACATGATTATCAATCGAAAGGGAACGACTGCATATTATGTGAATATTTATTTCAGATTTTATTTATTTTATCGATAACATTATGTGCTAAAGAATAAAATGGATTTTTCTCATACAAAATTAAGGAATTTTTGTTTCAAAAAAATATATCTTGTATTTCATGCAACCGATTTTATGAAAATAACATTTTCAAAATAACTCAAGGAAGAATGTATAGGAAAGTACAGTATTACCAAGAGAAACTATCCGAAATTAGTATAATGAAATTTCTTTTGGAAGTGAAATCTATTCAAATTTTGCCATTTGTAAAAAGGAATAATCTTTAGGACAGTGACCATAATAATGCAAAATAAAGAAATCTGCCAGTTATTAAAATCTACTTTTCTAATAAAACATTGTATCTGTTTAAGTACTTCACACATCTACTGTTTGAGCTTACCAGCGGTCGAGTAGTAAAGTCGCTGAACATTGGTAGTTCGGTCCAAGGTTCGAATCAGGCGAACGGGCTGGCTGCATTGGAGTTTTCGTGGTTTTACCTATGTGTAACATGTGTACTAGTCAATTTCCCTCAGAACGCTCTCCACGAAGGCACCCTTCCCTTAGGGAGATAGCCCTCGAGGCTTTGCCATAATCCCATAAACAAAATCAAACCTACTATTCGAAGTCAAGCATTAGAGAAAATGCTAATTTACGCATTTTAAAACAAACAAATAAAAGCTATTCCAAAATATATAAAATTATTATAATTTTGCGGATTAAGGATATCTTTTCCCGTCCACTGTTATGATAAAATTACAGTTTGGTTTGCACTATACAGCCCATTAAGGAATTCTAAACTTTATAAAAAGGAGTTCCAAAAGCGCCTTCGCTTCACGTTTCTCTCTCTCTCAAAAACAAAACAAAATAAAAAAAAAAAATAATAATAATAATTAACATGTGCTCATTT